TAATGAGAGGTACCAGCTATCGTTAGGGGAATATTTTAAATATAAGGTCCTAATATTTTATCTGCAGATGACAACATACTCATCTGAGTCTGATCATCTGAACATATTATATATAAATAATACAATATATATTGTTTAATATTTTCATTATACACATCTCACTTTACAAAATATAAAAATGTAAATAAACATAAAGTCAAAGTTAGTAGAATAATATTACTTACAGAACCTTAGCATAAATAACTAAAGACAGTTATTCAAATCGGTCTCTTAATTAGATACATGAAAATACGCATAAAAATCTCAAATGTTTTTTATTAATACTAACCCTCATTTTATGTATTTATTTTTTTACTTTTCTTATAAATAACATTCAACAACAGGAAGGCTACTTCACGTAAAGGCGTTGCTTTTCTCCAATCCTTAGGCAAGAACGAACCAATCGGGTGAGCGCAGGTTGGTCAGATTTACTCTGCACTCGGTCTCTGCAGACGCCCAACGGTGTAATTCCAGATTATATCGATAATTCCCAGGACACAGTGAAGCGCTGGCTGCGTCACTGAAGTATCTCTGACGGTGACTGACCCTGCGGTGGAGCTCAGAAAAACATGGGGGAAGCATTTTGCTACTTTTAATCTGTTTTTGATGCGTGCGTCGACATGTTGGTTTCCCCAAGATTATCGACAATTAAACGACACTTAATTGGATTTAACAGGTGCACAGAAGAATAATGAGAAACGGCGGGAAGGTTTCAGGTAAGAATGCAGTACTACACAAAACACAAATATTAATGTTTTTGCTCTACAAATAATTACAAAATGTCGCACAGTTTGATAGAATTAAGTCACAAATTAAATAACAAATTCCCAAATTTATACTCAGGATTAGCGGTGTCCTAAAGAGCTAATAACTGTAGAAACAATGAGTATAAATGGAGAGAATTCACAACAATGTTTGTTGAAAGTTTGTCCATAAATTAAGGACATGTTTTAAAAAAATATGTTCATTTTATCTTCATTACGCTTTAATCTAAAAAATCAAACAGTTACAATCTAACTTAAACGTGTGGTAAACGAAATTCATGTGATCTGATGAACTTTTCACTGGTAGCAATTTCTGTTGCTCCCAAAATGCGGTTTACACTGTTATAATCTCAGCACTTGATCATATGAGTCGTGTTGACATGTGCAGATGTAATCAGCTTCTTATGCCATTTATTTGTAGTTCTCAGACTTGAGAAATAGTAGAGTTACGGTAGTGGTATGTTTTGGTTTCTTCAATTAAAAAACAGTACTACATATAGTTATATAGAATCTCTGTAAGGTTACAGCTTTGTTTGTTCTGACATGCAACAATATCAGTTGTTCTCCTCTTGAGTACACGAGCTCAGAAAGCTGTAAATCCTTTTATCCTGTTTCCACCACATGCTCTCATCACTGGGGTCAGTTTCTCCCAGGATTTCCTGGACTTACATAATGTCAAGCCTGAGTGGTTTTACCCAGATTAAAACAGATATTCCTTAAGATCAATTGCATCATCATTTTAGAATCCCAATTTTGATGTTTGTATAATTTTCCAAAAATATACATATTTACACTTTTTGCAAACTAGGAACTAACAAAAATCCACTGGTATCCACTGGTAAAAATCCAGTGTGTCACACTGTCATTACAGCATTATGGCAACATGTCTGTGTCCTGAAGCTAATGAAATAACTGAAACACCAGAACCAAGAGTGATTCAAATTCATCATGTTAATACTTTGATTCATTATAAGGGTAATTGTTGTGGATTTCAGTGACATATAATCATTCATCTTGCAGAGTTTTGTTGGATTTCATTCCATCTCACTAAAACAGAGCTGAAGTTTTGACTTCTGCTATTAAACATGGATTCTTACGGGTCCTCCCTCAACCGCAGCCAGTCTCTGGCGAGTGGCCTGGAGAAGTTGTCGCCGGTGTGGAACAGAACGGCTCACTCTCGCAGCAGTAGCACGGTGTCATCTCGTCACTCCAGACAAGTGAGTCACGACAGAGTCAATGGATTCAATGATTAAAGGGCTTCAAGCTTTTCTGCCAGTGTGGTTCAGATTCATGAATGTAAAGATTACCAAACCACATGTGTATTCCCTGCTTGTTTTGTCCACAGCAAGACTGGGAGGTGATTGATGACCCTCATGCAGAAATGCAGACAGTTGGTGAGTGTCCTCAGGATGTGATGGTACCAGGTAACTGTGAAGGTTACCTCCTCAAAAGGAGGAAGTGGCCTCTGAAAGGCTGGCACAAGGTGAGTTACTGAGCTGCTCAGGGCTTTTTAGTTGACTTTATAACCAATGACATAATAACCACTGAGGGAAAAGACAGTGTTAGTGTTTATTTTATTTTTAGTCAGTTTTTTAAATGAGCAGAGTTTGTTGTTAGACCTATTTGTTGGTAGTAGTCAGTAACTGAGTTAGTCACTTTTTCAGAGAAGTAACTAGGATTTAATGATTTTTTTAAAGCTCAACACTCTTTATTATTAACAATTATTTTATCTTTTTTAATAGAGATTCTTTGTGTTAGAAGCTGGGATATTGCGCTATTCTAAAAATCAGCATGATGTAAGTGATCTTTATTAAATTAAACTTTCTGACACCAGTTTCACCAACTGAAAGAAAAAAAAAATCATTTTTATTCAGGTTTTCATAGGACGAGTCCAGGGATCTCTAGATGTTAGCCTGGCTGTAATGTCGATAAATAAAAAATCAAACCGCATTGACTTGGATGCAGGGGACATCCTCTACCATATGAAGGTAAGAGCAGTAATAAAACACACACTGAGTCTTCAGATGAATAAATCAAAATCCAGTCTGTAGTCTCTGATCCAATGGTACCAATGGTAATTTTTTTCTCCAACAGGCAAAGAGTCATGAACTTTTCTACATCTGGGTCACAAAGTTACAAGCCCACCGCTTGTTCAGGAAGAACAATGTTGTGAATGTCCACAGTGGATTCATCCAGTGTCTCAGTGGAAAGCAGAGAAATGGAATTATGGCCACTGTAAGCATTTTGATGTTTGGACATGTTTAATCAGAAGTCAGTGTTAGTTTAACATCTGTGTCTGTGTATCTGCATGTTAGCAGACTTCTGCAGGGGTGAAGGAAGTGACTGGAGCATCAGCAGTGCTGCCCTCAGCTAACACCGCTCTGAACTGTAAGGTTTCTGCTTGGCTGCAGCAGAGTCATGGTTCAGACACGTGTGTTCAAGGTATTTGTCATACGTAGCATGTAGGGTATTTTATACACTGTATTTAGTTAGGTTTAGGTTAATTAAGTGGTGACATAGCAGCCAGGACTGTTGCAACAATGTTCTGACCTTGTCCAAAACATGCAGAACATGTAAAAGGTGTAACTCTCACTGTTTTGTCACAGAGTTGAACAAATGCCATCTGAACCTGTCTGAATTAACCAGCTTAATCCAGAGGCTGCAGGCGCTGGAAGTCGGACCAGCGTTAATAAATGGAGACCTGCAGCGAATCATCAGCATACAGGTAGATAACTCAACGTCATGATGGATACACATTTTCTGTTTTGTTCATTTTCATCCTATGTGCACGTATCTGCTCTATTATTTTTTATTGTGTTTTAGAATCTGTCACTTGAGAAACCAAAGAAGCCAAAACTGGGAAAGGTGTGGGGCCACTCTCGCACACTGTCCACAGTTGAGGCGCTGGGAATGGTAAGAATGGAATGGAGTTTGTGGTCTACAATTTAATTTAATGGTAATTTGGATGTAATAGTGATGCTATTTATTATATTTATTATTTTTATTTTCAAAATGGAATAGTGAAAACTTTGTTCCTCTGATTCTGTTCCTAAGAGTAAAGTGTTTTCTTTTTTAAAATTAAATTCCTCTGGGCTTGATTATAAATCTTTTTTTGCTTTTCCCTTTGCTGTCTCAGCTTTCCTCCAGTCACCTCAGCAGCTCGGCACACCTAGGAGCATCAGTGCCCTCTATTCCTGACTACATCTATTCTCAGCTGTCTCCTCCCAACGCCCCATCAGCTGAGAGTAAGAAAATCCAGGAGGATATCTGCTCCACCTCATTAAAAGGTCAGAGAAGTATACCTGTGTCAAAACATGCTGGGAGGTTTTGCTTTAAAGTTTTTACTCTACAGTAAGATAATTTAAAGCTCCATCTTCCCGTCAGTGCTTGCATCCCTGAAGTCAGTTCACGAGGCTCTCTCTCAGGAGAGACAGAAACTACAGGAGGTCTTGGAATCTAACAACACATCTGCTGAGGTAAAATCAATTTTGCTCTTGTCATCTGGAATGTTTTGGAATATTTCCTTCTTCATTTTCTTTCTCCCTCACCAGCCTGCCCTTCATGGTCCTCCTTCGGTGGCAGACTCAGCTGCAGAGTACTTTGACGCCAGCGATGATCTCATGTCTTCAGAGGTATCTGAAGAATCAGGTCTTAGCGATGGGAGTACCACCAACTCTGAGCCAGAAGAAGGACATGGTGAGGTGATCGAATGAAACATTCATTTACTTGATTAAAGTCAAACATACTTTTTAATTACAACATCCTTATTGTCCTTATCTGAATCTAAACAGACCACTGTACTTATGGTCACCTTCGGTTATAAATAGTCAATAACTAATTCTTCTCTCTTATTCAACCAGCATCGGCCACCCGCAAGTACCGTGACAGCATTTCCAAGACTCCAAACACTATTGCTCCCAAAAACACGGGGCGTCGCACTACGCTTCCCGCTCACTGTCCTGACAACAGCCACGTTGGCCTCATGGCCATCTTATATAACAACATAGGCAAGGGCCCTCTAATAAAATTGACTACTCTCATTTGATGTAAAAAAAAACTAAATTTAACACAAAACATATTTTATCTCCAGGTAAAGACTTGGCCCGAGTTTCCATGCCTGCTGCTCTGAACGAGCCTGTGAACCTCCTGCAGAGGTTGTGTGAGGAGCTGGAGTACAGTGAGCTGCTGGACACTGCCAGCAACACCCCAGACCCCTACCAGAGGATGGTGAGACATGTTGTCGAGAGACGTCAGCCAGAAGACACATAGATTTCAATGTTGTTCGATAAGAATCATAATTCATAAAACAAAAAGTGCTTTGTTCGATGTTCTGAGCATTTAGTTTTTCGTTTAGTTAAGTGCCTTCTTCAGGCAAAGGCAATTTATAGTATAAGGTGACTATTCTTCCAGTGCAAACAGTCATTTAAGAAGCAGGCAAATTAAAGAGCATATGAGAAAGTGAAGATGATAAATAAAACAAAACTAAACTAAAGTTAAAGCAAGCACAATTTTTTTAAATATAATTCACTGGTTGAGGGGTATGAAAACTAGCTTGTAATGCTAACCCCAAATGCATGGATTATAGAAAATAAATTCTAATTGCTCCACCTCATGGTTGAACATAACCATGGGCATGTTCAACTACCACAACATTTGTCTCTTAAATGGTATAGAATACAGTAGTTAAATAATGAGAACCTAGTGTCTTGTAAACACAAACCTTTTTGTCTGTGACAGTTGTGTCATGTTGTAACAAACGACAAGATTGTTAGATAGTATTAGTGATTTTGTGAGTTTGCTGTGAAATACCTGAACGTTACTTAAGCATGTGAAATGGTGGTTAAATGCACATTTGTCACTATATAACAACTGTAAAATGTAATTAACTGCAAACTACACTGTTTTGACTAAACCATTTCATTGACTGTTTTTCTTCTTTAAACTATTATTGATAGGATTTAATCAAAGTCAAAGACAACGTTTGTTCCATGATTTTATCTTTTGCAGGTTTACATTGCTGCCTTTGCTATTTCCGGTTACTCCTCGGCAACGTTCCGAAACCGCTATAAACCCTTCAACCCTATTCTAGGGGAGACGTTCGAGTGCATCAGGGAGGACAGAGGCTTCAAATACATCAGTGAGCAGGTATGTACAGAACTGCAGCTACAATGTTGTGCTTGCATTGTGGTAAATTAACATGTCCTTCATCAAACTAGGTCTGTCACCATCCACCCATCTCCGCTTGTCACGCAGAATCTGAAAAATTCTCTTTTTGGCAAGGTGAGAATCTAAATACACAAAAACAGCCATTGAACATGTGACAAATGGCTAATTGCCGTATGTTTCCATCTGTTAACAGACCAGCGATGGAAAAATAAATTCTGGGGGAAGTCATTGGAGATTCTTCCGACCGGAATGGTGAACGTAGCTCTTCCAAGGTAAACAGTCTGATGTTAGTTCCACAAGGATCAGTCTGTAAAGTTATTGCAGCATCTGTGTTAGATGAGGTGTGGCATGGACCAATATATGGAGCTGGTCTCGTACTTCATGTGAGGTGATGTAGGGGTCCTTTCACTAGGCATCATTCGGGAGCAATGAGTCATGACACACTCTGTGTGGATATTATCATTATCCCCATCGTTCAACCTCGGCCAGTGGAGACAAGACAAACTTTCAACCATCTGTCCATATGTTGTTTGTGCATCTAAGCAGATACGAGTAATGACGTCCAATCAAATTAACACATTTATTTCTAGGCAATGATTTGTAAGTAAAACACAGCAAGATTACAAAAAGTTGCACCTGATAAATTTGTAAGACATTTTGGGGCTGCAATTGGCACAGTGTAGAGAAGCTGGACAAGGGACCTTAAGACAGACTGGTTTGATCCCTGGTGTCTACTAAAGGTCTCCCTGGATGTTTCCTTTTTTCCACAGTCCAGAAACCTTATAATAATGATTCCTTTTAAATTGACTATAGGTGTGAGAGGGAGTGCCAATGGTTGTTTGTCTCAATATGTGGCAAACTGTCCAGTGACTCTGTTGTTATGATACTAGTCAGTGGAACACGTTTCTAAACCCTATTAATATTGGCAGTTAGACCTCAAATTTCTTTGGTGTAAAACTGGTGTAAAGCTCAGTGGTGTCAGAAGATAAAACTACGATACAGCCAATTGTAACTAGTGTAATAACGTGGAGAGAACAATGGCCCAAGTAGTGTGGATGTGAAACAAAGCCTGCCTATTTTTTAGTAATGGACAAAATTTCAGTAACCACCTATATGATCATGCATGTCCAGTAAGGCTATGTTCAAATTACCCGGTTAAATTGAATCATGTTGGATTTTAATACCCAGTAAACCAATATTCTGATTTGACCAGGTTAATGGCTCTGAATTGTAATTGGAGGATTGCAGATTCAGATTGCAGCCCCTGCAGGACTATAAAATGTTAACAAAACTCCACTGGTGCCTGGGTGCACTAAAAAACTGCAGTCCAGTGCTCCTGTGTCTGGTATTAACTACTGAGATTTTACGCAGTGTTTAACCAATATAACAGGCAAATAATGTATATACAGTATATAATATACTTTAATAAGTATTTTTGAAACCATGGTAAAAAAACCCATCCTCCCTCTGTTATAAATTTGCACTGTAGTAACCTAACTTTACAGAACCCTAGTACAGGTTACTTCATGTCTGAGCAACAGTTCAAACCATGCTAATCAACCAGTATGCAGTTCACCTGTGCTGCTGAGAAATCATTGGGCTCAGCTGTGATTTTCCACAGCTGAGTGCAATCCATTGGGCTCAGCTGTGATTTTCCACAGATGAGTGCAAGCTGAGGTGGGAGGCTATACGTATAAGTTGGCTCTGTGGCACAGGCTCTTTGTTTGGTCTTTTGGGGGAAAGTGATTGTTTTTGTGTGTATGTTATTATAGGCTGTACCCTTATATCTGACATGCAGGTAGAGATAGATTGGCCAACAAACAAACACAGTGGTTATTATGAAAAATGAGGAGAGTCACTTCAACTCTACTAGAGTGCCACAAGTGCCAGCCTCTCTTGTTCAGACTCTCTGTAGTTCCCCAGATTTAAAGAAAAATAAAAAAGCTGGGGAAATCTCTTTAGTAGCAAAAGTGCAAGATTATTTTTAAGTGAATTCTTGTTTTCCAAACATATCCTTCAATTAATGTTTTTGGCAGGTACGGTGACCACTACGAGTGGAACAAAGTAGTGACCTGCATCCATAACGTCCTTAGTCAGCAGCGCTACCTGGAGCATTACGGAGAGGTCACCATCCAAAATCTTACAAATAACGTCTGCACCTGCAAAATCACCTTTGTCAAGGTGAAAGCAAAACAACAATATAAAGACACATTCACACAGTAGCATTTTTTTTGTTTTCCTAATTAAGTTGTATTTTGTTGCAGTCCCGTTACTGGGGATCGGACTCCAACAAAAATGAGGTGCAGGGTGTGGTTCTGGACCAAAGTGGGAGCATCATTCACCAGTTTGGAGGCCTGTGGCATGAGGGCATCTTCTGTGACACTCTGCCAACTCCAAAATGTGTCTGGAAGCCAAGTGAGTTGAATAAAATCCAACTAGATGAAGGACATTAAACTATTTAGCCATCCATCTTGCCCCACCCAGGGGGTTATGAAGCTTTTTTGTTTGTCCCACAAATTGCACTAATACAGTGGTTCTCAAAGTTTTTATACTCCGTACCACCTGAGAAAACATTGATCTCTCTGAGTACCACCGTGATGACCAACATTAGAATATAGCAGCAGAGGCCTTCCCTATTAGCTTCAACCACACAGGAGAGATGTTTAGAAAGATGTTTGTGTTTAAATGTTGTATTAATTGTGCATGGTATGTTTCAGATTTATTCAATTGAAAATGTAAATGTGAAAATATGAATTTTTTCCACATACCACTAGAGAGCACTCATGTACCACAGTTTGAGAACCACTGCACTAATATATATTTTATTGATATTCAATGATAGTAGTACTCTTAGAAATTGCTGTCTTTTTTTAAATAAAGTTCAGTGGAATTTTAAATCGAAAGCTATGCTGAAATGGGAACCTGGATTATTAAGAATGACTTGATCCGATACTCAGGATCAGTATCCGTTCAATATTGATCAGAATATTTAGAATCTAACTTAAAAAAAAACAAAATAGCAACTATAGCCCGTTCACTTCCGATACCTGTAGATGTAGAGATGAAACCGCGACGCTATTTTTTTGCACCAATACAGGCATCACTAATGTTGAAATTCATGTCACTTCCACCCAGATCCCCAGCCAAAAGATTACTTGCTCTACTATGGCTTTTCCACCTTTGCCATTGAGCTGAACGAACTCCCTCCTGACCTGCAGCCTCTACTGCCTCCTACAGACAGTCGCCTGCGCCCAGATCAAAGGTCGGCTGAGCTGGACAAGCTAATTTATCATCAGTTATGAAGATTACGATGTACTTCCACTTGATTTTTTTTTTCTGTCCTTTTGTTTAGACTTTTGGAGGAGGGAAAAGTGGAAGAAGCAGACAAGAAAAAAGACAACATTGAAGAGATTCAGAGGGAGCGGAGGAAAGCGCTCTCTAAGAGAGGGCAAGAACATGTGCCCCGTTTTTTTAGGTATGAAAACGATTCCTGTGATAGTGGAATCACTGGTTTATAGGATCCTTGCTACATTGTTCTTAACTTGTGGAAGTCTTTCAAGTTGAAAGCATTAATCACAATGATCACAACAATTACTTTAATGTTTGATTTTTTTTTTTTTTTTTTAACCTCTGAAGAAAAGCCAAAGATTCCTGTGGACGAGAGGTGTGGATAACAAACGACACCTACTGGAATGTCAGGGAAAATCCAGGTTTTGCCAACATGGAAAACACAGTCCTGTGGTGATGGGTTGACAGCTGTGAGCTGCTACTAACAAATACAGTGGTTAAAAAATATATACAGTATATTAACAGCACGTGTGAACCATTTTGAGAAAATGGAGATGGTGCTGCTTATGTTTTTTAGTTTAGTTTAGTTTTTTATAGCCATGACTGGTTCATGGTTATCTGTCACGCTGCACAGGAAATGTTCTCATCAAGTCATCTGTTAAAATGAAAAAACTGTTGTTATAAGATTATTGTCACTTTTATTCCTTTTTGCAACATATTTTTAGCTGATAACTTTCCAAAAGAAATGTACTCAAATGTGGAAATTGCATTTTACAGCCAGCTCAGTGAAACACTTGGAACTTTATTATGTTATATGTAAACATTCAGTACAATCACAGCGATATGAGATCAGAAGGAATCCAAAGGATTGTCATACATAAGCTTTAATTTCATGAATAGAAAAACAACAGTACTTTACACAATAAGCCAACTCTTTTCTTGTGTTCTCAATAAATAACAGTTCCAGCTTCAGAAACCTTCCCTTTTATAATATTCTGAATTGGGGATTGATCTGTATAAGCTATTATCAAAGGAGTCAGTCCTTGCTCCCCTTTGACATTAAACAGTGCACGTTGAAAACACACAAAAAAAAAACATGCTTGTTTTGTGGCCTGCTGGGTGTCTCTGCTGCTTATGTCACTTATTAATATATAATGCAGCAAATTCTCAGCATCCACACTCAGACTTCTCCTCTCGATAGTAACGTCGAGTTTAACAACTCAAAAGGAAAAAAGAATTGTTGGAATATTATATTGATTCATTGCGGTTGCTGAAGTGTCCAGCAGGGGTCGTTTCTGAGTCGTGTCAAGGCTGCCCACCCTTTTCTGCTGTTTTGTGTAATTTCTTGCACGCGGTGTGGGGTTATCGTTAATTAACACACAAAAAGACTCGTTAGAAGTCGTTAGAAGACTAAATAATTAAAATACTTATTTTCCCTTTCAATTAATTGCACTTTTAGATTAGTTTTGTACTACACCAGTAAAGTACATTTAGTAACATTATACGTCAATGATTGTACCAAACAGCTTTTTGTTTTTGTTGCCCATGATGTAATTATTATTTTTTTACTGAGTGACAAAATTCAGCCTTTAATTGTGACATTTCCATGTTGGTTTTCACAATATCAGGAAGCCATGAAAATGAGCAAAAATATATTTCTTAAAAAAAAGTGAAAATTAACAAAGAGTAGTCAGGATTTTAAAAAATATATTAACTTTACAGTGACTCCAACATCCATTTTACACACTTTGGTACTTAAATAAGAATTAATAATAAAGCCTGATACATATTTATCAAACTAATCTCATTAATGATTAAATGCTTAAATATCTATGTTCATAAAACAAGTACTTGACTTGTAAATAAACATATATTTAAAATGACTTTTATAAGGGGCAACAATAATAATAACGCTGTCCCTGGTATGTCTTCCAGCATCTCTGAATTTCCCTGGTTAGGTTAATGCTGGTTTTTTAAATTTAATCTATGAAATCTGAAGTGTAACAACAGGTCATTAATAAGAACATTTTACAGTCGTACTGGTGATGTTTAGGTTTGCTAACAAGAGTCTGTCTGTCAGCTGAAGCGCTGTCTGAAGGAGCAGATCTGTGATCTGTGCTGACTTCAGCCTCCACCATTCTGTCACAAAGACTCAGTCTTTGGTCTTTGTCCCACCACTGTCATCACATGTTAGACCTGTAAACTGAGGGAGGGGATTTAACATGTCTGCCTGGTCCGTCTGAGCTTCCTGTTAATGTCACTTGAAAGGTGACAGTGTCTTTTTTTAAATTTTACCTTCAGGTTTTTGTAGCTCCTCTGAATGAACCGCTGAGAGGGCGTGTTTTCCTGCTGTATACAAACACTCCAGGGCTGAGATACAGCAGTGGAAACTTAAATGAAGCTGCGTTATGTCTTCAGAGTGCAAAGACATTGTAAGCTCATTTCATCTTATTACAATAACCGAAACAAAATTCTTTCGGTGCGGACGGGGCTTTACAAAACAAAAATAATTTAAATATGTTAAACAGTATGTTTTCACAGTTACTAAATGACATTTTCTAGTACTTTTACTAAAGATTCTCCTTTTCTGATTCAGTTATGGGCCCTGCACCTGATGGTTGGATTACAAACTTTACTTAGACACTAATAAATAAGTATTGTTTTAACTGAGTAGTATCAATATGTTGTTAAATAAAAATTTGAATTTTCCATAAAGAATAAACTAAACACACCTCTTTAACTGAGCATAGAAAATGTACTGTGGTGACTTTGTTTGCAATGACTTTGCCTCCTGTCTGCGTTGTCTCTTTTCATCAAGTAGTGAGGACAATTTTCTGTGTAAAAATATTTAACAGCAGAAAATTTCATTGATGAAACTGAATGGACACCAGCTGATGTCGAAAACCAAAGAACGAGTAAAGGAAGGAGTTTTACCTAAGATTAAAAATCAATGTATTATTCCATTGCACTCATATCATGGAGAAGTGCAGTAAACCCTGTTTGTAACCCCCACCCCACATGGAGGTCAATTCAGCACCAATCAGACATTGCATTCTCTTATTTAGGACAAGATAAATGTTTGAATGATGATGACTGTTTGTGTCTTTTATGACATTCTGTCCTTTAAGATATACTCATTTCTGTTTCACGTGTCTCACAGTGCAGATGGACGGTTCACTTGTATTACCCTGTAATCCCATAACAGTGCTGTGTGCTGCTTTTACCATAACATTAGAAATTAGACAAGTGATGTTTTATGGCCTTACTTTTACTGACAGATTGTCTCAGCAGGTTCAGACAGATTAGCGGCCTTAACTTTGGAGCACCTTTGTGTTAAGCACTCTTGACCTCCCTATGTTGGTTCACCCACACAAGCTTTTGCATTCTGTCACCACTAGTGGGTGCTGCAGAACTAGATTTGGGTATTAAATGCGATTTAAAGGTAATTTTACTGCGCTCCGTGTTGAGAGAAAATAAATGAGAACATATGTATAAGTCTGAGGACTGAAGGCTGAGCTGAGGGTGAAAAGGACAAAACTGTGCAAAGGAAACAGTCTGGTGCAGCAGGTACATACCAAAATCCCTGCAGGGGTCTGTCAGCCCAAAGATATGCTTCTTAAAGCTGCAGTTGTTTCAAACAGTTTTTCAAAAGCCTGCATTTTATGTCTATTTGGTGTTTTGTGACTTGAGGGCAGTTTCCTGTTCACGGTCCATTTAGATCCATTGGCAGTAGCTGCTAAAGTCATTCCTGTGATTATATGACACTATAGAAACCCTGTCTTCACAGTATGAACCCCATTTCTTTTCATGTGGTTCTGTCATGTTGTGTTCTGTTACCAAGCCATGGTGGCAGTGTGAGAACAAGCTGCTGCAGCGAAGCCGGAGCTTCAGTGGGTGTAGTAGCCATAGTAGTCTGGAGTGCTGCCGCTGTCCTTCTCACTGCGTGACGGTGGGGAGTTTTCCGTGCTGGATGTGTAGGGTGACACTCTCCTCTTTTTGTTGTCCCCCATGCCGCCCTCAAACAGGCCCGAGTCTGCAGAGTCTGCCGATTTCACAGAGGGGGCGTCCATCCAAGGCTCCTCGCCCACTACTCCAGCACTGTCTTTGGGCTTGTCCTGCAGCAGTGGCATCTGCAGGGGCTCAAGAATAGAGGGCGGGTTCAACCTGGGGTTGCCTGGTGACATGGATGAAGATGAGGAGGAAGAAGAGGAAGACGAAATGGGCCTATACCAGCCTAGATTGGGGTTAGGTTTGTTGGGGTGACTGAGGTACTGAGGTGAGGGTCGACTGGTGCTCCACCCTGCTGTGGTGGCCCCTGACACGGACACACTGGGGGAAGCAAATGGATGGTCAGGATAGTAGCTGAGGGCATGGTGAGCAGACGCCTGTAAAGGGAAGGGCTTGTAGAAACCGTTTCCTGAGAAGTCTCCTTCATAGGTGGAACTGAAGTCAAGCCTGTTGGACACCACACCCTGCTGAGGCGGCAGGTACCAACGACTGTGTGGACTGGGGCTGGAGGACGGGTCCTTGTGCTGCTGAGCTATGCTGAGGGGCTCGCGGCTGAAGAAGCGGCTCTGGGGCAGAGGGCTCATGTACTGATCAGGGAGGTAGCCTTGAGGGTAGCAGCTCCCTGGCAGCAGATGCTGGCCTTCTGTAGGGGAGGGTGTGAGTCGATCAGAGTCGGGAGGAGCGTACAGCCTGGGTAGGAGGGGAAGAGAAGAGAGTGTGAGAAGAAGAAGGAAAAAAAAAGGGGTGATTTCCTGACCAAACCTCAAGCTAGCTCTCAGATATATTACACCTTTACACTGAATTGCACTGGAGCAGACTAAAGACTATTGGCCTTATTAAAAATATGGCTCTCATGTTAAAAGTCTGACGGAACTGACTGCTCACAAAAGCAAAATCATTTCTGAGAAAATTATACTTTTATTCTTTGCTTTTATACAGAACAGGACATTCCTTGTGCAGCCTATTCTTCGTTGGACAGTAAAACAGTGCTTCACAGCTTCACAATAAAACTACTCCCTATTAAAGAAATTAGAAACACAGCTTTTCTTTACAAACTTCTTTTAAAAAAAAGAAAAAAGTAGCACTTACGTGTCATAATTATCACGGAAACCTTTAGCGAAGGGGTTGTGGTCTATTTTCAGCTGAGTGATCTGTCTAGGGAATAAACAGGAGGAGGGCATTGAAAGAAAGTGGGCAGAGGAAAAAAACAGAAGGAGTTGGAACCACAGAGGAGAGACAAAGAGGCAGAGAGGGAAAAAAGAACCAAAAACCTAATGATATTTAAGGAGGATACAATGTCCTGTCCTGCTTGTCTTTTTTCAGGTCTCAGATAAAACTACTGCACACACACACAGACACACACACAGTAGAAATATGTTGTTGTGATATTAACATCATACAAAACATGGTGAGAGTGTGTTTCCTTGGCTTACACAATGTATTTGAACAGCTGCTGGAGATATAGCTCAGACTTAGTGTGTGTGTGTGTGTGTTGGTATTGGGTGAAGTGTCAGGTCAGCTGGGGTAAGGAGACTCTCAGATAAACTTAGACACTCTATAGTACACTATAGTAGCCCAGTGCTGCTCTACTCAAGTGAATTACAACACATGTATTTTTAATGCTCAAATGTATGCATCAATGTGGGACATGGCCGTGACATAAATCATTGAATTTGGATGCTCTTTACGGTTGACTCAAAGGTTGTTCTATTGCGTAACCATTTATCAGACTTCCTACAATTCAATAATACAACCAAACACAGGTCAATGTAAAATTCCACTTCACGTTTTCGTGCTTTTTTCTCTCTCTCCTGCTGGATGTCAGTGCCATGACTTACGTCTGCGTTCTGATAGGCTGTGACAGCAATGAACTGAGTCTCCGGGAAGACAAAGGTCTGAGCTTTAGCCGAGAGGAAGGGATCCTCCCCGCCGTCCTCCTTCACCTCCACAATGTGGAGACGAGGCTGGTACTTGTGCAGTGACTGCAGCACGATCATCTGCAGAGGACAGAGTACAAGCAGGAGTTGGCTGATGATTATATGCAGAGTGGACAGAAACATGACAAAGTAGAATTCTGGAGATTGTTGTTTACATCTTAATGGCATGTTAAGGTAAGGACTAGTTGTCCTAGGTGTACAGTCACAGTTATATAACCATTCCCTTGGGCTGTGGTCATAGCTCCTGCAGGGAAGGAAAGGAAGTGGCACTTGCTCTGTGTCTACAAAAAACGAACTTCAAACAAAGATTTGTCACCTGCGACACGTTGTTGGTGCTCCCCTTGTTGTTGGTGAGCTTCATTTTGCTGAACGATACCTCCTGTCTCATCCAGTGGGCTCCTGTGTTGGGGGAGTCGGGGTGCATGTATGTCCTGTTTCCTGTACATGAGGAAAATGTGGGAGTTCATATTCAAATTCACAACATTTTAGTGACAAATTAGACAAAGTTGAATCGTTTTATTATACTTGATAATGGGCTGGCCAAGGTTTTAGCTCCAACCAAGCAGCAGAACATCTGACTTGGCTCATTTAATCAACTGATCTGAGGCTTCAGGCAGTCGATTGGCCAATCAGGTGTTCTGGATAGGTGGGACCAAAGACCTGCAGCCACAGCTGCCCTTTGTGGAACTAACTGCCCAGCCCTCTAACATAGAAATAGAAAAATCAAATGGCAGGATACAATCTCAGCACTTGTGATCGTTCACAGCCTCACCACAACTAACTGCTAACTTTATATCAACACACCACAAAAGCGAACAATTAAATCTAATTGAGTGGAGATGTTTTACCACAGTTTTACCCACAACCCTAGCACATCAGAAATCACCTATCAATGACACCTGGCACGTGTGACAACACCTTGCAGAATTTCTCGTTAAACATGATTGTGGTTTGTCTATCATCAGTCGCACATGCAGTAAAATGCTTCGCTGACTCGCGGGGAGGTGTGAACAAGAAGACATCACCAGTAAATGAATGAATGAACCCAAAGAGGAAGAGATAGTGACACATGGATGAAAAGTGCATCACTTCTTATTGGGGGTTGTAGGTGTGGAGTGAAATGGCAGAGGTGATGTATGTCTTTTACTCGTCGTATAAGGAAACTCTTTATAAATACAGGGGAGGAAATGAAGTACTAGGAAGATTTAACCTTTGAATGTCTCTGTGTCAGCCTTTATTGTTTCATAATATTTATCTCGCAAGCATTCACACACTTGATATTTTGACCCATTAAAACCTACCCGTGTGGAATCACCTAGATGTTGTACTAAATATTGAAACTGTTCTGGAATTTGGATCTTAGGTGTCTCCTTATTTGTACTGCCTAAAATTAAATTACTCACCTTTTATATGTAGCCTGTAAAGAAGAGAAAGTGAAAACACCTACGGACCAGTCTACATGTTCCACGTAGCACCAACAATAAATGCCAGTATGTGGGCAACTCGTAACCATATGAAAAGACATCATTTCCCCTGTTCAAATTTGTTGACCATTAACTGTGAACCTACAGCACTGATGTCATTTTTAAACTTTTAGATGTAAATGATGTTAAATTTAGTCTACACGAACAATTAGATAAATAAAAATCAGCAGACAAATATTGCACAGTTGCAATAAAACTGCATAAAAAAACCAAGTAACTGTCTAAGGACTTTTCTTTTTTTTCTTTTTTAAATTTCTTTTAGGTTGACTTTACTGGGGTTGGATTAGAACCTGGAGTTCTTATGTACCTGGCATGTTTCCTTCTGCTTTTCCGCACTGGACCCACTTTCCTCCCTGGTACCTCCAGTGGTGCTGGTCTGCCAGAATCACATCCACATAGACGTTGTAGTGAGCGGTTGGTTCCAGAAAACTGATGTTGAAGCTCAGGAAGGGGAACATTCTCCTGCGTGAACACACAAAGACAAAAGAATCCTCTTATTTCCTCGTCATATTTCTCTTTTTTGTCAATAAATGCTGATATTTTTGGCTAATATATATATAAAACATTTGCCAGACAAACATGGAAATGCAACAAAGCCTACAGTACATAAAATAGAGTGGGACTTGAACTTCTGACAGAATCTGTGCTGTTCTCCACTCCACACTATACGATATTATTAATGAAAAGTTTTCTGCCTTGAAGGAAGGATGAAAGAAAGCCACAATTCCGTGAATTGATGCCAAGGAGATACAGCGGCCGTCCTCTGCTGCTCCACTGTCTGACATGCGTTTCCAAAAACTCTAAATTATTGATTAGGGTTTTTACTGACTGTCCTCATTTACAGATTTAATGGTTCTGCTGCAAATGAAGCAGTGATGAGTGTTACAGGGACAAAGAATGTATGATACAAGGCAGGGATGTGACTGTTTAGACCTCATTACTGTGGAATTGGAGTAATGCATCAGCTGTGGATGAATCTCCCGGTGCAGGAGAAGTGTAGGTGAATATTTAATGTTGATCTTAATAAAAGATGCCCCCAGAAGCTGCCCCTGATTGCAGGAGCTTTACATGTCGAACTTGTTTTCTCTCTCAGGAGGCTTCAGTTAGACGGGGTAACCCAGAGGTCAGGCTTTCCCAGAAGCACCAGCAGGGGCAGGAGGAGGTCGATTAAAACCAACGGGAAGAACACGGACATCGAGTACACAGAGACACAAAGGTAGTGTGGGAACTAAGGTATGTCTAACCTGTTTGTGACACGATAGAGGGACATATGTACTCAGGATTCTATTCAAACAAAACTCAACATCTGCATATTGTGATCCATCCATCCATTTTCATCCGCTTATCTGTTCCCGGGTCGCGGGGGCAGCAGTCTCCATGACCGCCACTCAAATCACACTGCACCGTACCAACCCCCCTGAACCTTCCTGTGGGTGGTGAGTCCACTGGAAGGTACCAACTGCCCTAACCAGGAGGTGAACCCTGGGGTTCCACACCAATGACAGAGACATTGCCTCTGGGCCAGAGCGCCATGTATATTATGATTTCCCTTATTATTTATTTAAAATAGTCACCTTTTAAAAATGTATACAGTCTATAGAAGTTAGTCAGTGTAAAAGATGGGCCTGTTTAGTTGAACATAACACTGATATACTCGCAGCTCTGAGCCTCTCTCTTATTTTGTGTTTTTATAGCAACCTCCTGCCACTTAGTGGATGAGTGTGGAGGAGTGCCATGGCAAGGGCCATCTTGTATTTGGGTACATTGTAGGGTTGATACCGTTGAAAAAGTGATTTAAATAACAAAAACTGCAAAACTCCTGTATGAAAATGAATTCCATTTTAAATCTGTGTCCGTGAATTGTATTGAACAACATGTCGACAGACTGGTGGTATGGCTCTACTGGTTGTAGAGAGTGTGTGTGTGTGTGTGTCTGTGTTCATATTACTGGTACCAACATCGCACAAGTGGGGCATTGAAAGAAAGATTTTGTCACAACTGAGTCACATGCTGTCTCACTGCTGCAGCTTGTTCTGATCCCAGGTCATATTCTTCATTTGACTCTTCATCACTTCTGTACAAACCCAATAGGAAATTATCTGACGTGTGTGTATCTCAGGTCCTTCTGCAACAAATGTGTATTTAACCACAGCTGAAAATAGTTCTCAGTGCACTCTGTCTTCCTTCTTTGTGAACAACAAGATAAAAAAACCACCGTCGGTGCCCCGAGGCTTTTCAAATTTGGATCTCACACACAGTTGTTAAACAATCAAAAACAAAACAAACACATTCTATACGTTCGAAACCATTAGATAAAACTGAGCCTTGTGTCATTACATCAGAGCCAAAACATATATATTTGCTGTATTTCTTCTTTGAGCTAGAATATTCCTCTACATATATGAGAAGGCAACACTATTCTATGTGTTTTGTGTCTATAATTCTGTTCTTGGTGGTAAGTCAAAACCCTTCTCTGACTGGTCCCAGTTGGGTCGTTTGGCTGAGCGCTGAGTCCAGTTTAACAATCAATCATAGTTCTGTGTGAAACACAATCATGGCTGCAGCTCTTAACTGGCTGGCAGAGAACAGGTGACGGAGCTCTTCTTCCACTGCACTGTTTAATACGAGTGAAAACAGAGACTCGGCTGTTCAGCAGTGGTTCAGCATTAATCCACCTACACTTAGTGAGAAGGAAAGTAGATGAGCAGTGCCTGTGTTTTTTTTAAATATTGTAGTTTTACTTGCACCGTGGCCTTTATAGGAAATGGGGACTCTGTGATTTTGAGGGAAACCAAAGAAAACACAACACAGGGGTCATTTGCATGTGAAGGCTGCTTTGGTTGGGTGTAGAGAGATCGTAGAGAGGAGCTGAAGGCTGGTACTGTGTGGCGGGGCATCTCGACAGCTTCCTGAAGTTGAATCAGGCAGACGACAACCAAAACAAGCTGCAGATGTAACGATCTCAGCCGTTCAGTCCTGTGCACGGAAACTCTAGTACCAGGTGAAAACATTCACCTTCTGGAAGTAGTTCCTCACTTGTTCCAAACAGGTCAGAGATTCTAAACTCCAGAAACCCCCCATACCCCACCCGTGACTAAATGTCAATAACAATTAATAATCTAATTATTTTTTCCATTTGTGTTTTATTTATTAAAACTCTGATGACATTTACAAATCAGTGCAATTTCTCTACTGTGGTTCGAAAACTATTTAAACTTGAGATAGAGAGGAAGAGAGAGGGAGAGAGAGAGTAAGAGAGAGTGACAAAGAGCGGAGAATTCACCGGGGACTTGACTTTTCCACATGACTGCACCCACTGATTCATCTGGACAGCGGCTCAGGTCCAGTTTTTGTCACAGTCCGTACGCTCCATCATCTATGACGTAAACATGTCAATCTACAGCTGCTGCCAGACGCAACAACTCCCCACAATTCTTCTACACCTTTGCGCTGCATCAGTATTGATATTTGTAGAAGGGATCCACTGAAGGCGACCTGCAGTCATATCTATATTGGAGAAGCTGCAGCGCATTAGCAGTTAGTTACCGTTGTTTTCTGCTTTTGCGGTGCAAACCGGTGGATTCTGTAGTATTTTTCATTTTATTTAATATTAAATTAAAAGAAGTATCTCACATGTGTTTATTGTATGTAACCTGCCCCAGTGTTTCAGGATGACTGACTGGTATAGTTCTGAAGAAAACCCAGCATAGAAAACAGAGAAGGACCATGAGCAACATGTTTATTTTCTCTTCTTGATTTATACCTCCTGTGAAAAAAAAACTCCCAAACAGTGTCAGTGGCAGGAGGAACTGGTTTTTACCACTTGGGCTATTTACAAGCGGTGTTTAAGATGTTGAGAGGAAGCACTTGTATAGCGATCAGAAAATATTGGCACTAGATGCTTCTGAGAAAAGCTGTGAAGCTGAACAGGAAGTGACAAGCCATTCTGTCAAAGAGCCTTGAAACAGCCTCACTTCTGCTTTCAGAGGGGGAATAATGACAGATAGGGTGATAATCAACGTATGCAACATTCAAACATCCCTAAAATATTACTCTGCCTGTCAGGGCTGACGTGATGATGACTAAAGTCGATCCTTTGCCGCCCACCATCATAGAGGTTTTCCACCTACTCTAATTTTCTGGTTGATCATTTTAAAAACAAGGTGCCCTCTTTGAAAAGAAACCTCAATATTTAGGTTTTGCACAGACTTTCACTGAGGCCATGATTTCCTTTTTTTCTTTTTTTGTGTGTACAAAAAAAGCATTTATTTGAAATACATTATTTGGTAATATACAGCCAGGATTGAGACATGCGTAAGAGGGGAATTCTGATTTTTGCCTCTTCATTTGTTTCCAAATCAATATTAGGATTATTTCCTTTCTGAGAAAGTAGCAGAAGTCAGCTGGCACAGTTTAGACTAAGTGAAGCAGAGAGAGCAGATGAGCATGATTCCTTTAGCTCTGCAGTCTTCTCCAACTTTGTCATACTGTACTGCTGTGCAATAATATGATCTGTTACTAATATTCATGGGAACCTACATCATTTCATATAAAGTATTGGCTCAACAATAAATAAATATTACAGTCGAAATTGAAAAAGCAAACAGGAAAATTGTTTCAAGCAAAACTTCAGGAGGGAAATTACCACTGAGGGGTAATTTTTTTTGATAGATTTTTCACTCATACTTAAACTCCAACCCAGGTGTAACATCAGCACATTTGTAAAACAAAGAAGCTTTGTAGGGAAGCTTCACCTTCTCTTTTTTACTTTAGTCATTTTCAATTCAGGAAAATCAGATTTGTGTCCACATTATTTTGTTGAATCATTATTCAGAACATTTTGCGCTGATGTCCTGAGTTTATTACAACCGGAAAGCTCTGCAGCCTCGGTGGACAGTGACTTAATGTTCTGACTCTAATGCAGAAGGAGCGAGGGCTGAAACGGCCGGGGCGCTGATCTGAATTTAGCTCGGGAGAAATGTAGATGAATTCGCCCTCCTTTGCTGTAGACCATGGAAATGTCTCCAGATTTCAAAGCCCAGGTGTGGTACAAGAGCAAAACTTCTGAGAGATCTGTCAGTGCTGTACACTGGGTGCTGGGCTAAAGAAGGCAGAAGAACAGAGAATCTGCTCTCTTACTTCCTGGACTTCAAAGACACCTCCTCACCTTCTCAGCGTGGCCATCTAAAGGCTCAGTGCTGTTTGACCCTTCTCTCTGCTTTACTCTACACTTTCTTTCACCCATATCCTGTAGAAAGCATGGTTTTGATTAACATTGCACACCTTCAGACTTCTCTGCAAAAAAAGAAGAAAAAAAAACACTGCAAAATTACTGTGAGAGCCAAAAAACCAAGATAAAAATTTAAGAAGGCTGCGGCCTCTGATATTGAAAACCACCTTTTTCAAGGTCTCCCTTTTCTGAACTCCCCCAATAAATCATGCAGGGAAATTTTGTTACATTGCAAAAAAAAAAAAAAGTTACTTGACACCTTTGACACTTGTCACTTGTGTCAAGTGACAGACTTGGACAAAAGTTAAAAATGTGTTGAGTGTGTCATCAGAAGGATTTCAAATATTGATAATAAGAGGTTTGTGGTTTTCATGCAACACAAAACATTTGTCTTTTCACTTGCATGTCGGAAAAAAAAGTTTGATTGTTGCACCATGTTACACAGTGTCTTTGCAGAAACATGAAGCAAGTGTGTGTTGATGCCATAGTGTGTCCTCGCTAAAGAAAGCTTTTTCTTTAAGGGACGCTGGATTTAAAACACAGATCATTAAATGTGCATTTAAGTAGCATGGAAAAAAAATGACACTCACTTACGCTGAAATGATTGGAAAACGTTAAGTAGGGTGACACATGGAGAAAGTGTGACTATCTCAATTTCACTCAACTGAAACCATGACACAATGAACAATGTTCAAGGGTCTCCTTTGGCCCCCGAGTATGTGTTTGGACCACGTGTGGGTGAAAAATAAGTTTGGCTACAGTAAATATATTTACTTTGTCTCTATAATAAATAATTTAAGGTTAAAATAAAACTATTCAACTACAGCTGTTGTTCCTAAAAATTACAGATCCCATGGGAATGTGCTTTTCCAGAATCAAACATGAAGTCCACATAAAACCAGTTCAAGGGCCACCTTTGGTCCCTGGGTCCATGTTTGGACAATGCATGTTTAAGGACAGGTGGAATTTAAATTTTCCAATAACAGGAGATCAAATATTTTGACAGTGACAAAGCTCTCTGAGTGAAATACGCAGTATACACACTCTCTCACACACACCATAACCCACACACACGCACACGAAAATTAAACTTACTTTAAACTCCCTCTAAATGAGGGCACAAAAATAATTTTGCAGTGGATTACAGCTGGTAAAGTAAAAACCAAATGAAATTAATGCAAATCAACAGCAGCTCAGAACAAAACTCTTCAGCTTCAGTGTTTGTAAAAATTAAAAAAGCACAGCTCGTATCTTTTCAAAAGTTGACTCCAAGACTCGTCAGTTATAACAGACCTGGCTGCGCGCTTGTTGTTTTTGCGCTTTAATCTCAACAAAAACACCGCTTCTGAAACACCAGCGTTGACAGAAGGTTATTGAATTAATCCTCATCGACGTAACGGCTTCTTGCGTCTTAACGCACACTGAGCCCTGGACTGACCCGCCGGGCAGCGGCCGCGTCTGTCTGCCCCTCCTGGCGCACGGGCTCCCGGCTCCTCTGAAACACGTGTTTTTATTGTTGTCGTCATTAAATGTCCATATTTACAGTGTGAAATCGAAGCGCACATGAACGGACGTTTATTTTAATGCGGGTTTATTGAACATTTTTGCAAAAAAAAAAAAAAAAAAGATAGTTTTGAAGCAGGACTTCTCTGTATAATTATATATTTTATATTAAGCAGTTTTCCTACTAAAAAAATAATTTTAGAGTTGTCTCCTTCTTTGAATATAATTTCCGGAAAAACTTGAATCTATTTATAAGTTCTTTCTTTCACGGTGTGCTTCATAAATGCTGTGTTAAACCCCAGGGCCTCCAGGGATTTCAGAGGTCAGACAGAGATGTCAGGAGGGTTTCACAGCTCAGACATTTTATTTTCTCACTCTCGTTTATAATTCCTCGTTCAGTCAGAATTAAATTTTTACACACATTTTTTTTAAAGTTTAGTTTTAATTTGACAAGTGAATATTAAATATAGGAACGTCTTTTAAAAGATTAAGTTCCTCGTAAATGCGCATAAGCTCTAATAATGACACTGAAGAATTTTACGCACAGTGTATGTGGACTGTTCGGGCTTATGAGGGTCAGGGGCCACTCTCATCACTTGTCACCTCTGTGATTACACCAGGCCAGCGTGCCAAAGGTGTGCTAAAGTGTTACATTAGTAAGTTAGTTGTAACCAGGGGACGCTTCAAGTCCCCTGGTAGTAGGAAACTTATTGGAGAGCCGTGCGTAATATATGTCCTTGACAGAGAAACCGGATGTTTTCTTTTCTTTTGGAGGGGTTATAAAAGTACGTGTTTTCCAAACTTACCTTCCTTGTTTGGTGATGATCATCTCTGTTTGGAGTTTGTGGAACTTGGCCCACAGCGGGTAGTTGTTGAGCAGCGCCTGCGTCTTCCCGTTTACCTGGAGTCCAGGTAAAGGGTAAAGAGGCGGCCGCTGGTAACCGTGCTGGAAGCCCGCAGGGTACGTTTCCGTAGACGGAGTATACACGTCTTTAACGCCAGCAGTAAAGCCGTCCCCCGCCGCCGTGATATAACCCTGCCCGGTGGCGCTTCTGGGCGGCGAGCGCACGCCGCCGTAGTGGCTGCTGCTGATTGTCTGTGCGTAAAACCTGCCCGGCTGAGCGAAGCCCCCCATCGCCTGCTCCGAGCTGTAGGGCAGAGTCAGAGCGTCCTGTCCGCCCTGAACAGCGTCCGGGTAGTAGAACCTGGGCTCCTGGATCCCCATTTTAAACTCGCTCAGATCCTTGTTGCAGCGGTGGAGGTGACTG